GTAAGTAGGTTAAACTGGGAATGCCCCTTCCCAGGGACCACATCACCCCTAATAAAACATTAAATATCATGGGAGACCATGCACAGCCTCGAATTATAGTATAATGACTTCGAATAAACCTTTTTTGTCTCTAAAAAAAGGCTTAGAAAACTAGATTTATTTACCTCATTTTACCTCGTTTTACCTCATCCCAATTTTGCCTTTTTTGGCTGGCCTCGTGAGGTAAAATGAGGTTGACCCCCCCTATTTATAATAAAAATATGATGATGATGATGATGATTTACAATCAAATAGCATAACGAAATTCAAAGGCTCCTGTATAGATTGTTTTCTATGTTGGAACTTTTTTATTAAGATCCTTGCCAAATGATTTTTGTCCTTTTCAATCTTAATCATCTGATCCAAAATTATCTGTAGCACAAGAACTGAAAAAAAAGGAGAAAACAAAAGCATTATATTACTTCAAAAGGATTATATTAGTGTAATCAGCTAGTCCTCCAGCACAAGAGCTAGAAATTCCATATGGTTCCAAAAGGACAGACTACAGTAAATTCCCGATTTACCGCAGACTTTGGGGGAAGGGAAACCTGCAGTAAATCGGGGGTTGCAGTAGATCAGGGTTTAGTTTTATGGTCCTAAATAGGTCAGCAATAAGTGAATAAGGCCTGAAATCCATTATTCATTATTCGACAGAATTGCTGCCTTAGCATTATATTGTAAACCATATTAAGACCTGTAAATATCCATATTGTATCAGTATCAGTGGTGTAACGTTGCATCACATATTCTTCTATAGCACATACCACTCCTTCTTAAACCCAATTGTGCCATGTCATATGACATATAGGAAAATGCTGTCAATCATTGCACAGTAACTGAAGCGTTATACAGGAACATGGTTACATGATTCGAGATGCAGTAATGAGCACATGCTAACAAGCTCACCTATGATATGTATAATCTGTAAGAAAGATCAAAAGTTAAATTTGTATTCCTTAAATTTGTATTCATACAAGCTTAATTCGAGTCCTGTATCATATTATATGCATTACATAAGCATTGTCCACCCCATCACATTCACTGAAAATCACTGTACCAGCGCTTTTGTTTCTTTTCGGGCAACAACGAGTGCAAAGTGGCCTGACTCAAGCATTACAGCATTACCAAGGCGACTGTTAACAAAATATTTTTTGTCAAAATCTTTATTTTTCACTTTAGTTTAAGTTATATTAATATAGTAAATCCAAATCTTATGATACTGTTATTATAATAATAATAATTCTATACAGTTACATAATTGAAACAATTATGGCCCCTTATTGTGGGCAGAGTATGTGTCTTTATTGAATTGTCCTGATATAAACTTATCTGAGTGACTGCATTAAAATAATTTAAGGTGAGTTCTCTTAAAACTTTAAGACAATAGGAATAAATACTAGGACCTAATAAAATGAAAACAAAATGCAGCCATCTAATTTGTTGTTGAGCTTTCTCTTCTCCTACGGTTGACTAGAGGAACCATCTTTGGCGAGTATTAGGAACTTAGACCATTACAAATACCGTGCTGTAAGTTTGCAAGGCATGTGGACTAAGTGGGTCGAGAGTACTCAACTTGAAAGTGGGTGTTGAGAATCCTCAACTATACTAAAGATAATGATGTTCAGAAGATGAGGCAGTAGAGTGAGTAGTAGAGGCTGAAGAAGAATAAATGTCACAAGAGATGAGCACTATAATAATCATCTTTATGATAGTTCACCAATGGCAATTTGTGCTAGAGAGCGGAAGGCAGTGATGCTGTTATCACTATCATCTCTTAAGATAGACCATGATGGTTGGTCATTAAAGGAATGGTCCTGCAGGGTTTCCCTGTAAGAGCAGCTGCACAGTGGACAGTAGAAGAGTCTGTGATAATTGGTGTCCAATACCTTACAATTTGGACACTGAGGGTCACAGTTGTTGGCTACCCTTGCCTGGAAGGCTGCAAAGGTGATGTCATGGCCATGTAGGAGTGACATAACCTTAATATCCGTGTTTCTGCTTGAGTAGCGAGGAAATAATCGTTTGCTCCTTTCATCAATGTTATCCAGTATCTGACCCTCACTCTGATTTATTCTTGGGTTCAGCAGGAGATGTTTATTCCAAGTAAACTCCATGAAGCGGATTATTTCTTCTCTTGAGTAGCTGACAACATCGTTCTGGACACTAGTCAGAAGGTCTATTTTGCTTCTGTTTAGTTCTTTGGACCCAGTTTTCCACGTTAGAAACTTACGTATCTCGTCAATATGGTGCTGGTATCGGTGGGCCTTTGCCTCCTCTAGCTGCAAGATGAGCCCTTGCATAAATGGGTCACTTGTAAAGGCCTCCCCCAGCCTCGGATCTTAGGATTAGATTTGCAAACATTCCTGAGACACAGGTGCAAAAGTTAAGACAGCAGAATAATCCTAAGACAGCAGAATAATCCTAAGACAAAATTTAAGCAATTCTGAGACAGCAAAAAATCCTGAGATAAAATTTAAGAAATCCTGAGACAGCGAAAAATCCTGAGACAAAATTTAAGAAATCCCGAGACAGCGAAAAAACCTGAGACAAAATTTAAGAAATCCCGAGACAGCGAAAAAACCTGAGACAAAATTTAAGAAATCCCGAGACAGCGAAAAAACCTAAGACAAAATTTAAGAATCCTGAGACGCGCGAAAAAACCTGAGACAAAATTTAAGAAATCCCGAGACAGCGAAAAATCCTGAGACAAAATTTAAGAAAACCTGAGACAGCGAAAAATCCTGAGACAAAATTTAAGAAAACCTGAGACAGCGAAAAATTTTTAGATACAATTTATACAATAGCCACAAGAATATACATGGATATTACATCTTTTAATTTCTTGCAAAGAATATAATAAATACAATATTACTAGGTATAGTAGGAATGTCAATAAGTCAATAGAATTTGTCTGAAACCTCTATGTGCCTGCTAATGAAGTGAGTATCCCAGATCATATCTTTACAGGTAGGACTGTATAATGGGGGCCCGATGTTATAGCGGACATCATCTCCCCCCAACCCCCCCCCCCCCCCCCCCCCCCCCCCCCCCCTTACCCATTCTTACTCCCAGTTCCATAGCGGATATTATGCCAAATTATTGGACGGAGATCGTCAACTAATATTTCTTCGGATATTTCTCCGGTTTGCAGTTCCATAACCTTATCCGGAGACCATCTACGGTAATTTTGTTGATTCTCACAGAGCAAAGTGCAAAGAAACTGCCACAAACTGCTACAATCTCCGAGAAATCTACTTATTGAGTTATTGACTAGCTTGCTAAAATTCATCGGCAAATTACCGCTGCTCGAGTTACCTAGCCAGGCCCATTTCAGTTTTGAGTACTGGAGTCGGTTATCTAGTCAAAGCCTAGCTTTTTTGTAACTTGCAAGTGCTTTTGCGGATTCGATTTTCAAATAGTCGTGGATTTCGGCAAATAGTCGTGGATTTCGGCGATATTTTCAGATTATTCTTCAATGTCCTCAAACCTGAGCACTGGGACTACTTAAATTTTTGCTACTATCTGAATGATTTGCTCAAGCTACTGGCTCGCTAGGTTCAAAGGTTTATTTCCTATTTATCATGAAAAAAAAATTGTGCTGGGTAAAAGTTTATACGGTGTTCACCCAGGTTTGAACTCCCGACCTCGCGCTGAGCTAGCCGATCGCCTGGCCGCTAAGCTACTCCGGTGATGTACTCAAGAAATTTTTGATGTACTTATTTAGTTATTTATTCACCCCTTCTTACCCCCAGTTCCATAGCGGATATTATGCCAAATTATTGGACGGAGATCGTCAACTAATATTTATTCGAATATTTCTCCGGTTTGCAGTTCCATAACCTTATCCGGAGACCATCTACGGTAATTTTGTTGATTCTCACAGAGCAAAGTGCAAAGAAACTGCCACAAACTGCTACAATCTCCGAGAAATTCCCGGAGAGCTTCATCTCCGTATAACTGTATAATACAGTAGACGGAGCCGGAGAATCATCACCGTAGAAATGGACCTCCGTCTAATAATTTGGCATAATATCCGCTATGGAACTGGGGGTTAATCTGATTAAAAGCTACAAAAAATTCCAGAAATGAGATGGCTGGTTAACACCTACCTTTGGAAAGCTCTGATGAACCTGCCTGTGGAGAAATAAACGCACTTAACTTCACCTCAATTGAGCAATAACTATTTATCGCTTATTACTTCATTTATTTTGGATGTACAGTGTGCTTCGTAACTAATTTATTATTACAAAGTTTACTTTCTAATAAGCTAAAACGACAACTAATCTTTCGTTTTACTCCCTACTGTACAGGTTTACTCGTCAATCCAGGTATATGAGAATGTGTGAGAATGGTCTTGAAACTCTGAAAAGAGGGAAGCAGTTTTGGGGACGGGGAGATTGAAGCGGGCGGGCGACTAATGAACCCCCCCCCCCCCCTATTGTAAGCCCCCCGGCTTACAATTGACCCCCCATGCAATTACACTGAGTCAATTGATCTCAGTATAATAACATGGGGGTTAATTGTCGGTGGTCAATTGTCGTACTAAGCCTTAGATTGTACCTGCTAATGAGGTGAATATCCCAGATCATAGCTTCACACTTCACAGGTAGGACTGTATAATGGGGGCCCTGATGTTATAGTGGACATCACTTTCCCCTCCCTTATCTGATTAAAAGATACAAAACAGTCAAGAAATGAGATTGGTTAAAACCTACCTTTGGAAAGCTCTGATGAACCTGCCCGTGGAGAAATAAACACACTTAACTTCAGCTCAATTGAGCAATAACTGCCTATTTATCGCTTATTACTTCATTTATTTTGGATATACAGTGTGCTTCGTAACTAATTATCATTATTATATTATATCAGCGAATGTGAACATCCATTTTAAATTTGTAAGATGCTATCTCAATATCATTACTACAGATTATTCCTTTTTTACTAATAACCCCAGCTTCAGCTTAATAGTATGTCAAACATCAAAATTTGTGACGAGGAGGGCTACAGCTTGATTCCCATTTTTGTAGTAAAAAAGCCAAAATCTACAATAGCTGTTGTCAAGGAATCCTCGACCAACGAGGACTTCCTCGTAGTGATTCTGGGGGAGGATGGTTATGGGGGACTCCACAGGCTGGAGGTTAAGATTGGGGACCAGCATTTCACGTCCCTTACTTCGTCAGATGATGGTAATCTTCTATTTTTCGGAAGAGGGCTTACAGAATTTATAAACATAGTATAAAAATAATGATTCTTTCCATTTTGATTTGTCTAATAAACCGATATCGACTGTTATCAGATGATTAGAACTACCTTACACTTTAATTGCTAATCAGCCAATTCCAACAGGCCTGCGGGAGCTGAGAAGTAAGTTGACGTTTGGGTGTGAGCTGTTCTGCAGTAAAGTAAAACAGGTGAAATGGAGGCAGGGTACCCGAAGTGAGGCAATAGCTGCCTCAATCATCAAAGAAGGGGTAAGTTGAATAATAGATTTACACATTTTAAAGGGCACAGATGGTCAAGGAGGAAATAGAATCCCGTGTACTTGGAATTTTGAGATAGCTGCCCAACCCCCTCCCCCTCTTCCGTTTCTCCCCCCCCCCCCCCCCCCATCCCCATCCCCCGCCCCTTCTGTTTTTAAGCTACGAAAGTTTTAGATGCTTCAATTTGGGCCAAGGTAATGTGACCTATATCTTGATTAGTTTTGATCAACTTGCATCACGTGGCCCTAGCATGGCCATGGGGTACATATGTTATATGATACATTAATCAGTTAATAAATATTTCTCACCCAGAACACGACACACATAAATCACCATCTCCGGAAAAAATTGAAGGCAAACCGGGAGCTTCTTGACACCGTCCTTGGACCAGATCCGGTGTATAATGTGATTTCCCCAGTGGAAATAATTTGCCCTGTGTGCGGCAAAGTTGTTCAGCTGACACGGACAGGAGGGCTTAGTGCTTTCACGTTGCATTCTCGGAGGAGGCATGCTCACAGTGAGGCCTCGAGAGAGCTGCTCAGGGCTATTAAGGAAAAAGAACAACTGCAAGTGGATCTTCCGCATATAAAGAGAATTAAACCAGATGCTTACAAGAGCTTCGACATTGGCTCTTGATGGTTATAATTGTTTTTTTGAACCTGCTAACAGCGTGCGATTTCATTTGTGTTCATTTCTTTTCATTCATCTTATCGTGTCAATGATAAATTATTACCTTTTTCTAATTTTTAGTCATGATCACAGTCGAAGACCGTGATCATGTATTTTTCCGATGCCCTATTTATTGCAGTCTTATACATCATTATAATCACGTCACCTCCCGCTTAAACAAACGCTTAAACAAACATGTTATAAACAGTCCCCCTCCGAGGGTCTTAGTGTTAAGTGTTAAAAAGTTAAAATGCAGTCTTCAGCGTTTCAAAATACAAGATAATAATGATATTACAACAGATAATTACCAATTTATAACATTGTAAATCAATTTTGATGACTAAATTAAAAGATTAAAGCAACGAAAGTTCTGATTAGTTATTGAATAGTTTTTTTCCGATGCTTTATTAATAATCAATCTGCACCCGAACCGTTAACGGGAATTGTAATGCTAGAAGTAGCATCCCTTGTAGTCCATTGCTATCTCCTTCAGGAACATGGAAATCTCGTTCCCTATATAACACTACTAGTGTCATATTACTGGTCGTCGTAATCCCAAGATGGCCCCGTATTGTCTGGAATAATTGTTCTGTCATATTATAAAGTTATAAACTACTAGTAAATTTTGCAATTTGGGCATGTACTAGAATAAAATCACGTGTATTTTACTAGTAAATATAAGTTCTAACCAACCTCGAACGTATCAAACGGGGAGACGTTTATAAATTTATGTTCCCCCATGTAAATAAACTCGACAACTGTCATGACACGATATCAGACCGCACAAAATTAAAACTGAAAGTATAGTTATTGACTAAGGAAACTGAGGGAAGGCTGTCTCGGATTCTTGGCAGTGAAATTATTAAGTTATTATATCATTGACCGATTATTCCCACACATCAATCTTGATCTATATTTTAGAGAGCTCTACAATTTTCAGATTAGATAATTACAAATTTATTTATGCTCTTATGCTTTGAATCATAAAATTATCATTATCATAAAATTATCATTATATCATAAAATTATCATTATCATTATTCATTGTACAATCACGTCACCTTTTTCATTCATTAAGTCATAATCAGAATGGCTGAGATTCATGGAGCTAGTGGGACTATCGTAAGAGTCAGAAATCATTCACGGAAGAATGAACAGGAAAAAGAGACGTACTTGCCATTCAACGCAACAATGTTACACCTAAAAGACGTTATGGGAGTTAGTCACAAAACGGACATCTTCTTGTCTTCCATAGTAAATGGGAGAGAGTTCTTTTTGACGGGTGATGCCTCTCTTCAAGGCTTCCTGCTGATGAGCCATTTCGGCGAAGGACTAATCAGCCCCAATTTGAAGTTAAGATACAAGAGGAAGCCCAAAACGAATGAGCAAGGTAGCGATCTTCGTCCTAGATTCATTTTCACTTTATCATTCATGCAACATTCACTCACATGACATATAAATTATATTGTTCAACCACACGAAACGGGTTGAGCAACTTGCAAGTTGTGATTCTAATAATGTAGAATTAACAATTTACAAATCATCAGTCTTAAGTATTTGAGTTATAAGTATAACAGATATTATATCAGGTGTTGAGACTGAGAGGAGTGCAGAAGCGGAAGGGAATCTGATTGTGGAGGCAGATGTTGAGATGGACGCTGACGGTAAGTTTCTAATAAATAACAACCGCACTAAACTAGTAAATCAGGGTTTGCGGTAAAACGGGGTTTTGTTTGTTCACATTATTCATATTAAATCAGGGGTTAATGTATATTGTCTGCTATTCTGTCGATTTAGGAGGGTTACATTTCGCACATGTATTGATGTCAATATGTAATTGTACGTGTAGCGATTTAAAAATAAAGTGTAGACATCTCACTTGGTTACCAATTGCTAAGTTGTTAGACATCATCAACGTATGGCCGCACCTAGCACTCTAAGAAGACCTTGCCTTTTTCAGACAGTACAATAGATAATGTGCTCCGGAATTTGCCAAGCGAATCTGACATCAGCTTCCCATCAGGTTATTTACTTTTGTTGGCACTTGTTAGTTGTAGTATTAATACCGTAACGAATACATTATACGCCACTATTAATGTCTTTCTCCTTTTCTTGGATCTCCGAAATTATACAGTTATTCGTATAATTGACTTTATAATTATGACCAAATGTTTTCAGACGTGTTCGATAGTATTGATCCCATACAGGGTGAGTTATGTACTGTTTTTTTTTGTAATATTTTGTCGAATTGTTCTAAATAATTATATTACTATAACACCTTCGCTTCTTTGGGCTCCGCGTGATAATCCCCGACAGCTTGCTAGTATAGAGGGAATTTGCGGCCCGAAGAACCGAAGGTATTACATTGTATATGCTATAACTGTTGACGCAATTCCGCTTGGAACATGACGTGTAATAGTGTAATGTGATACGTCCGCATGTGTAATATATAGTGCGCAACTTTTATTTGTTTTGAAAACTTCCCGCCAGCCAGTCTAAGGTGACTCGCCTCTGTGCTGATAATACGCTCGCTTCTCTTGCGGGAAAAATATGAAAATAACCAGCTCTCAATGTCCACGAGTTTTAGTGCTGCATATATTTCCCAGAAATAGTTATAGCAGAAAATTCTAGATTGAATATTGGATCTGAATTTATTAAGTTAAATGGTCTCACCTAGCACTCTAAGTTCTAACAGTGCCTTAACCGTTTCAGACAGTGCAATAGAGGAAATGCTGGGTAGTTTGATTGTGGATTCAGATGTTGAGATGGAGGCTGACGGTAAGTTTTTAATTTAACAACCGCACTAAATCCATGAATGAATTAATTAATTAGGTAATTAATTATATAAAAATCAACCTAATCTGTCAAGCCCTTAAATTAAGCATATCATCAAATATCATCATTTTCACTTTATCATTCATGCAACATTCACTCACATGACATATAAATTCATAGTTGGTTCGAGAGATATTGTTCCTGACCTGGAACAACCTGCAAAGAGAAGGAAGAATCCTGATGAATCTTCAAGCTCTGTACCAGATGAAGCCATTGCTAGTGGATCTTATTATGTGATAAGACTAGAGTCAATTTTCGTACTTGGAAGAGTCGTTTCTTCTAATGCTGTTTGCAATGAAATTGTCGTGCAGTTTTTCAAATCAATTGCATTGACTAGCAAGTTACATTTCGAGCCTTGGGGCAAGCCAGAGTCCGAGGTGACTAAAGAGCAGCTATTAAGTATTTGCCCCATGCCAGAAGTATCCCAGGGACGCCGATACAAATTGATCTTCAAAGCCGGCGACCTCCCTAGAACTGACCTAAAGTGATTCTATGTAACTTACTGTAACTGTCTGGAAGTCCGGAACTATTCGTCTGCTAACTGTGACAACAAACTTGAAAGCCTTCTAACTCTAATTCTTTTCCTTGAAAAGCCATACTTACAACCGTGCAGTTTGTTTCGTTGAAACACAGAACATCAAATTTTAGGTGCTGTTCAATTTCATCACGTATATTAGAGATTGCTTTGCTCAAAGATCGAATATTAAGAGATTGTACTTTAAATTGATAAGGCCTACTCGTGTTGATTTGCCGTGGTTCGTAGTATTTACAGCTATTTAGTACATCTGAGCAGTTATCCCATGGATTAAAGTTTAAGTCATTGTTTTCTTCAAAAGTATTACCTATATAATTAGAGTCATGGTTTCTATGGTATGGGTTAAATTTTGCGCTATTCTCGTATTTACCGTGTACGGTGTATAATTGTCTAGGTGATACCTCGAAACCAGGAAACAATTCACGTGTGCAGCTTTTGCATCCAAACGGCTACATTACAATGAGTTTATTTAAAATTTAAAATAGTATATTATGTCTTTTACTGTTTTTAAAAACCAATGAGAAAATCTTAAACTCTGCAGATTGAGATTTGGCTTTTTGATTGGCATATTCTGCCTATATTAAAGCAAAATCTGTATGCTTGCGAAAGTCGGTACCCCACACAGCGTACAATGTTGCAAAATGTCGGCAAATGTCGACGTGGCGACATTTGGCGACATTTGTCGACATTATAAGGAACATGATGCCTAATTTTGCGGGGCTTAGAATTCTGTTGCCGTATACCCGTAATTCATTTTAACATTTCAACAGGATGGAATTTGGGTCGGATGGGGCAACGACAAAACAACTTCGGGATATCATCAAGGATGAGAATTGCTGGAGTACTGAATGCACATCAGCACTGTCTCCGCTCCAGATATTCTGCTATGATAGACTACAGCACACATTGCAGTCATTTATACCTGGATTTGATGTTTTGGTTAACCCTATAACCGCATTCTGTTATGGAATGAACTGTGCAGCGAAAAATCGATGCATTTCTCTTCATCGGCTTAATGATATATCAAGGTTTACATCTCATGTATCAGGACATCAGGACTCATGGTCAAAATCAGTCATTGTTCGACTGGCTTTTGTGGAAAAGGGTGATTATTTTACTGAAAAGTCGGTAATAAATAGCTGGGAGCCAATACCTTCAGTATCAGCGGTTGTGAACGATTGTAGGCACATGATGTTTGAGAGGGATCTCTCCGTGCACTATCTTTCGCACTGGAAGTCAATAATATACAATAATGGTGTAATAGAACAGAGCTCTATACTCTACCAAAGTGACGATGCTCTGGTCGAAGATATTTTGTCATACCCTAAAAAAATACCAAATTGGGGCAAATGGCAAGCTATCAAATCATGGGCTGTTAAGTTCTACAACTCCGTTTCAGAAGGCCAATACGGTCTTTTTTCAGGGGAACGTAGGAAGCGTAAAGGGACTTCTATCGAGGAACTTGAGAAATATACAAGAACGATTAACCATATTACACCTGGATACACTACAGTAAGCTCGTGGCAACCCCCAGTCACCGTAGAGAGTGGTTGTCATCCGAATGTTATCTTGGCACATATACAGGTCTTAGAGAATAGAACAGATGCTATAATGGTAAAATCGGAAAAGTCAATGAGGTACCCTGTTGTTGTTTGTTATGACGGTCAAGACTTAAATCAGGGAGCATTCTCTGTAAAGAGGAAAAGCGATGGTAAACTATTTCTCTGTGGTCTCCAGAAGATGATGTCCGCAGAGGATATCAGTGAAATAGGGCTCGAAAATTTCCGCCACTACTTATCAGAGGAAACCTCTTTTGTTTCTGAGGCAAAAGAATATCGGGCTTATGATTTAGCGGGTATATTGTCCTCGAATGTTGCAACATACTACAGGAGCGCTGCTGAAAAAAATCAACAGATAACTGATGAGGTTAATAGTGTTGTTGATGGGGTGACTAGTTGTAAAACTTGTATCTTATCTGGTGTCCCTTGCATCTACAGCGATGTTCTCGGGGAATGTGATGCTTGTGCAAGTGGCTGTGGTCCTTGTGTGTCACTGGTGGTTGTGTCTGTTTTTTCTGACATGGCAGCAACTCAAGTTGCGTCATCGAAAACAAATCAAAACGTTGTAAAGTCAGTCGAGGCAGTTAATTCAACATACTATCATCGTTCATCATTTGCGTATGGATTTGGACTTTTGCATGTTGTTAAAAACATCATCAATCACCAAAGAAATCAAGTCATGACTGATACTTATGGAAACTGTATCCATATTGGCATTTTGATAAGTCTGTGGTCACAGAAGACTGATATCGGTGCAAAGTTAAGGAAACTCCTTTCCCCCCGTGTGATGTATGGAAAAGATCGCCAAGACGACAACAGCAGCTTCAGTTTGTGCTCTTCCGATGTGCTTGATACTTTGAATGTGTACAACAGATCAAGCTTGTACGTTGTACATAGATTTCCAGAAACACTATTTAGTCACAAAAAAGATGCACTCAATCACCATGAGATTAAAGCAATATCATCTTTCATCTGGCATCCTCGGCTTGAGTTATTCTATATTGCAGATAGCTTTACATCTTCCATTTGGGTTTGTAAGAACAGTTCAATAATGAAATTACAGAAGTTGGACCCCCTCGTTAACAATAAACGCATTCTATCCTGTGTCCAATCTATTTCTGGGATGTGTTTTTTCTCATTGGATGGCAGAGATTGCTTGATATTTTGTGATAGTAAAGCGAATACTGTCAGGATGATTCTTGTGAAGTCCGGCCCGAAAGGTGTGAATCGGCTTCACACATTAATCCAAACTGAAAGTCCTAGTTTTGTTGCCACATCATCTTGTTACACAAACATAGTTGTATATTCACAAACCACCCGTATAATGAAATTGTACGGAATACAATCAACCAAAGGAAAGTCCCCATCAGTGGAGAATATGAGCAGTAATTTGTGTATCCAACTTGAAGGAGAGGACTATGTAGCGGCTATAAACTTTGTCGACTGCTCTCAACATATTTCTATGGTCGTTATTAGCGGAAAAGGAAATATTGTTTTCGTACAGTGGAACATACATGATGATATCTGTGTTAAATGGACCATAAATATCAGTGATTTAGTGCCCGAATCCGTATCACATTCTTTGGTGACTTTCAATGCAGCATACCAGCAGTTGTGGGCAATCCAAGTTTCAAAATCCGACCAAAAATCACTTGAGGTTAGAAGCTGGGATATCGATGCGCATGGGCTAAATTCATCACCTCTAGCCAACTTCGGTCTAAAATCCGCAAAGTTACCTGATGGGTCAGAGGAATGTTCTTACGTCGTAACTAAGAAGAGCACCTTATATCTCATCACTAAAAACAATGTGATATTTGAGGTTGGTAATTTAAAGTTTGTTATAAGTTACCTCGAAAACTGTTCTCATATCTATAAGGCTGTGGGCTATATACCAAGGGGCACGAAAGCTGCTGATGCTGTTAAAGCTAATGTCGAAGAAGCAAAGGAAACACTCACAAAGGCGGTCACCTTCTTCAACAGTCTATTAGAGATGAAGAGAATAGTCAATAACAACGTGAAGGCTATCCGATCACAGCATGGATGTGTCTACTATCAAACCATCGATTGTCTAAGTTCATCAATAGACAGTATGAACATAGTTATTGAACGTTGCAAGCTTCTTCAAGCTTGCAACTTGCACCATTTAAAGCCACACACTATCTTTAATGAAGCAATGATCGAACATGCTTTTGGGAAGTCAACCTCGTCAAGATCTACTTTCAATAAAAGCATGGCGGAATATGTTGCTAGCAAAAGAAAAAACGAGACTGATGTGTTTTATAAAGTTTGTAAAAACCCCTGGATTCAGCAATCCTAATGTGTATCGCAAACGATACTGTGAACCACCCACAACCAGCCTTTCTGTAAGTGAAGTACAGCAAGTTTTGAAATCGGTGAAGATCGCACCTGATAAAACCTTCACTTTGATGTCTCTATCCGACACAAATGCAGATAATGAAGTAACTTGCATTAAGGGGGCAGTCAAGATCGCCAGTGCTCAACCTCGACAACGGAACAGAGTGAAGTGGCAGGAAACAGCCGGATTTAAACCTGTGCTTCTAGTGTCAAAGCCGGATGTCGGTATATCATTCATCTTTAAAGAGAATGATATAATCCCCATAGTAAATAAAAACTTCGGCTCGGTTCAGTTTGTGCACATCTCTTCGAATGTATCCTTGAATGACTTCTTACATTTTCGGTGTTGTGTAGGTAATGCGATGGATCCAAAAACGGGTGAAATCGACTCCACTGAGTTTGTGATTACCGAAGTGAAGACAGTTGTAAATGAAGACGCTATAGTTGTTGACAAAACCGGAAAATATTTTGTTTTGAACTATACCGAGTCCCTGATGGTAGGCTCGAACTGTAAATTGCCTTCAGAATTTGTGGAATCTGTTGAAGCCTCAATTGAAGCATAGACAATAGACATCTGTCGTAGACCTTAATAATTATTGATAATTGTTTAGGGGTAAAATTTGTTTCTTTTCGGGTAAATATTTAGTCGAGCTAAATTATGCATGATTCGATTAATATCTGATCATAGCACTTCTCTTAAAATAGCACTTATTATACTCGTAACGACGTTCCGTTGTCAGAGCCAAAAAGTCCGATCTATTTATAAGTTTTTGGTTAATTATTAAATTAAGTTCACATGCTGATAGCTTTTATCTTTTGATGAGCTCTTTAGCTGTGATAGGTTTATATGTTTACCGTTTATAAACTGTAGGTCAGAATCGCTTAACGAGGATTTATCAGTCATATGATAGTACAATAGTCAATAATGATGTAATGTTATTCGACTGTCAAAAGGTATTTTGTTTTGAACTATACCGAGTACCTGATGGTAGGCTCGAACTATAAATTGCCTTCAGAATTTGTGGAATCTGTTGAAGTCTCAATTGAAGCATAGACATCTGTCGTAGACCTTAATAATTATTGATAATTTTTTAGGGGTAAAATGTTGTTCTTTTCGGGTAAATATTTAGTCGAGCTAAATTATGCATGATTCGATTAATATCTGATCATAGAACTTCTCTTAAAATAGCACTTATTATACTCGTAACGACGTTCCGTTGTCAGAGCCAAAAAGTCTGATCTATTTATAAGTTTTTGGTTAATTATTAAACTAAGTTCAGATGCTGATAGCTTTTATCTTCTGATGAGCTCTTTAGCTGTGATAGGTTTATATGTTTACCGTTTATAAACTGTAAATCAGAATCGCTTTTAACGAGGATTTATCAGTCATACGATAGTACAATAATGATGTAATGTTATTCGACTGTCAAAAGGTTCCTTTTATCCTTTTATCGTAATTTTACTTTATACGGATACACGAACCTGTCTTTCACTGCTTCCAAATCCGGCCAAACGAGGAATTGAATTGTACTTTGTAGATTCGTCTCGTTATTGAGGCATACTATTTGTTTTGTATTTTATAATAAGAATCTTCAGATCATATATCATATTCATAATATCACTGATTCATAATCACCGATCACTCACCAATCCCATTACACAGTTCTGCATGTAACAATAATTGGGTTCACAATCCACTGACCACTTCCCGAGATATATACTCTTAACTCATCAAACTAGAGTAACGTAAGTTTAGCTGCACTCATGTTCCCCCTAACTCTTTCCAGTCTGCTTTTGTAAAATTTCTGTTAAAAGATGATGTTTCCAATTTTCTACTCAATTATAATTTTACCTATTATAAGTCTAATATATATTCATATTGCAGGTGAGGACAAATCAATAGTTTTGCACGCCTATACAGTATACATGACCTGCACATATATCCTCCGTTATTGAACGGCTTGCGTCAAGGCGTAACAGATTTGCTGGGCACTGCATGAGAGCTTCTGACCAAGTTATCTCCTCTATCCTCCCCTGGCGACTTACCCAGTCCGGCCGTGGAACTGTGGAAGGAGACCACTTACCTTCCTGGACGTAGTAGCTCGTGACACTGGGCTCCAGTTGGACGACCTTCGAACTGTTATGTGCGATCAAGACGTGTGGAGGCAGACAGTGAATGGGAGTTCGATCGAGGATCGCCGAAAGTAAGTAAGTTGTTCAATCCCCCAGTACCTTTATTATTATAATTACCCTCCTAGGCTCCTACATCCTACCCGTTTTTGATGCTGTAATCTTCCCGTCCCCAACTTGTCACTATATGGTGCTGTCACTATATAGTGCGTTTTTTACACTATATGGTGACAAAGATCAGCTGTCATTATAAAGTGCTTGTCACTATATAGTGTTGTCACTATATAGTGCGATTACCCCCAAAACCGCTAATTCCCTCTTTTCATAGTTTCAGGACCGTTCTAATACATACTCCTATACCTGAATTGACGAGTAATCCAGTACAGTAGGAAAGTTAACTTTGTAGCTTTTCAGAAAGTTAACTTTGTAGCTTTTTAGAAAGTTCGGAGTAATCACTCAGGTATAGTATCTCACAACGAAGCCCAATCTACATCCAAAATAAATGAAGTTATAAGCAATAAATAGGCAGTTATTGCTCAATTGAGCTGAAGTTAAGTGTGTTTATTTCTCCACGGGCTAGTCCATCGGAGCTTTCCCAAGGTAGGTTTTAACCAATCTCATTTCTTGACTGTTTTGTATCCTTTAATCAGATAAGGGAGGGGAAAGTGATGTCCACTATAACATCATGGCCCCCATTATACAGTCCTACCTGTGAAGCTATGATCTGGGATATTCACCTCATTAGCAGGTACAATCTAGGGCTTAGTACGACAATTAACCCCCATGTTATTATACTGAGATCAATTGACTCAGTGTAATTGCATGGGGGGTCAATTGTAAGCCGGGGGGCTTACAATAGGGGGGGGGGGGGTTCATTTGTCGCCCGCCCGCTTCAATCTCCCCGTCCCCAAAACTGCTTCCCTCTTTTCAGAGTTTCAAGACCATTCTCACACATTCTCATATACCTGGATTGACGAGTAAACCAGTACAGTAGGGAGTAAAACGAAAGATTAGTTGTCGTTTTAGCTTATTAGAAAGTAAACTTTGTAATAATAAATTAGTTACGAAGCACACTGTACATCCAAAATAAATGAAGTAATAAGCGATAAATAGTTATTGCTCAATTGAGGTGAAGTTAAGTGTGTTTATTTCTCCACGGGCAGGTTCATCAGAGCTTTCCAAAGGTAGGTTTTAACCAGCCATCTCATTTCTGGAATTTTTTGTAGCTTTTAATCAGATTAACCCCCCAGTTCCATAGCGGATATTATGCCAAATTATTAGACGGAGGTCCATTTCTACGGTGATGATTCTCCGGCTCCGTCTACTGTATTATACGGAGATGAAGCTCTCCGGGAATTTCTCGGAGATTGTAGCAGTTTGTGGCAATTTCTTTGCACTTTGCTCTGTGAGAATCAACAAAATTACTGTAGATGGTCTCCGGATAAGGTTATGGAACTGCAAACCGGAGAAATATTTGAAGAAATATTAGTTGACGATCTCCGTCCAATAATTTGGCATAATATCCGCTATGGAACTGGGGGTAAAAAGGGGTAAATATATATTTACATCAAAAATTTCATTCGTACATCACCGGAGTAGCTTAGCGGATAGGCGCTCGGCTAGCTCTGCGCGAGGTCGGGAGTTCAAACCTGCGTGAACACCGTATAAACTTTTACCCAGCACAATTTTTTTTCATGATAAATAGGAAATAAACCTTTGAACCTAGCGAGCTAGTAGCTTGAGCAAATAATTCAGATAGTAGCAAAAACTTGTGTAGTCCCAGTGCTCAGGTTTGAGGACATTGAAGAATAATCTGAGAATATCGCCGAAATCCACGACTATTTGCCGAAATCCACGACAATCCGCAAAAGCACTTGCAAGTTACAAAAAAGCTAGGCTTTGACTAGATAACCGACTCCAGTACTCAAAACTGAAATGGGCCTGGCTAGGTAACTCGAGCAGCGGTAATTTGACGATGAATTTTAGCAAGCTAGTCAATAAATAGATTTCTCGGAGATTGTAGCAGTTTGCGGCAGTTTCTTTGCACTTTGCTCTGTGAGAATCAACAAAATTACCGTAGATGGTTTCCGGATAAGGTTATGGAACTGCAAACCGGAGAAATATCCGAAGAAATATTAGTTGACGATCTCCGTCCAATAATTTGGCATAATATCCGCTATGGAACTGGGGGTAAGAAGGGGTAAGGGGGGGGGGGGGGGGGGGGGGGGAGATGATGTCCGCTATAACATCGGGCCCCCATTATACAGTCCTACCTGTAAAGATATGATCTGGGATACTCACTTCATTAGCAGGCACATAGAGGTTTCAGACAAATTCTATTGACTTATTGACATTCCTACTATACCTAGTAATATTGTATTTATTATATTCTTTGCAAGAAATTAAAAGATGTAATATCCATGTATATTCTTGTGGTTATTGTATAAATTGTATCTAAAGATTTTTCGCTGTCTCAGGTTTTCTTAAATTTTGTCTCAGGATTTTTCGCTGTCTCAGGTTTTCTTAAATTTTGTCTCAGGATTTTTCGCTGTCTCGGGATTTCTTAAATTTTGTCTCAGGTTTTTTCGCGCGTCTCAGGATTCTTAAATTTTGTCTTAGGTTTTTTCGCTGTCTAGGGATTTCTTAAATTTTGTCTCAGGTTTTTTCGCTGTCTCGGGATTTCTTAAATTTTGTCTCAGGATTTTTCGCTGTCTCAGGATTTCTTAAATTTTGTCTTGGGATTTTTCGCTGTCTTGGGTTTCCTTAAATTTTGTCTCAGGATTATCTGCTGTCTTAGGTTTCCTTAAATTTTGTCTTAAGACTTTTCGCTGTCTTAGCTTATTTTGACATCTCAGGTTCGCTTAAATTTTGTCTCAGCTTTTTTTGCAGTCTTAGCTTTTCTTAAGCAGTTTGTCTTAGGAATTTTTGCAAATCCAATCCTAAGATCCAAGGCTGGGGGAGGCCTTTGTAAGTGCTTTTATTATAAATTTTATAGTGACCATCTTGTAGGATATCTCAAGGGGTGGAATCCCAAGCGCAACAGAGGTCAAATCTTTGGGAGGATGGTGAGTGGCCCCGCTTATCTTCAAGAGGACCATGGCATAAAAGTCTTTGAAAGTGTCGAGGTTGTCTTTTAGCCATATAGGAGCAGCATATAGAAGTTTTGTGAGTACCACTGTTCTGAAGAGCATTCTGAGTGAGCTTGTATTCAGACCTCTGTGGCGGGTGGAGTTTTGGGTGATCCTGTGCCAGGCAAACCAGCATTGCTTGAGTTTGAATTTTGCGTGACCCTTGAATGTGAGCTTGTTGTCGATTGTTAATCCGAGAACAGTTGATTGATACGTATAGGTTATGGGTCTGCTGCCAATAATTAACGGACTTAAGGTTGTGACATCAGGTGCAGTTGAGGATGCTGGTGCGATCATTATGCACTCGGTTTTGTTTTTATCACAGTTCGGGATTAGTTTCCATTTACTGCACCAGACATGAAGGTATTTGCACATCAGCTGCATTATCCGGTGAGCACATATAGGATCCATGTGGGATACTGCTATGCTTCCATCGTCCGCATATTTGAATAGACTTGAGTTAGAGCTGCATTCCAGTTGTTATTATATTAACAGTTACTATTGTAGCTCAAGATTTGAAATTTGTATTCCTTGTATTCCTTGTATTCCATTCAGCTGATGACGATTAACACATGTTTATTGAAAGCGTCTACAAGTTAAACCATCGTATCGCTTATATGTTTCTAACCCAACTCCATTCAGTATTACATAAGGGATCATGTGTCAATATCATTCAATATAAACACAATGAAGCGATAGATTCAGGGGATGTAGAATGATTTTCTTCATGAGGGGGCCGAAATCTTAGAGTTTTTCTAATTTAACACACGCTTTGGCCACAGCCTGAATTTCAAAAACAGCAAAACGTGATTTGGGCAATAGAGATCATTTTCAAGAACGGTTAAAATAATACGATTTTAAATGCATATTAGGGCCTGCAAGCAGCTCTTGCGAAATAAGTGTAGTTCGAAAAAGGGATGCATATAGGGACTACGGGTGGAAGATGAATAATTGATATTCCAACAGCATCTTGTTCCCTGCATTGTGCTGATTCCGGGAAGCATTTTGTTTACGCTCTCATCATTCTGTAGGATGAGATATCGTTCATTTAAAATTGGGTAATTATAGGCCTGTCAAGGATTTCAGCCTAATTAAGAGCTGATCAATTGCAGCTAGTTGTGCCATATAAGGGATAACTGAGGTCACGTGACATTCAGTCCTATCACGTGACCGCTAATCCTATCACGTGACCTTGATTCGTAAAGCCTCGGGCACGTGATCACATTCGTAACGTGTCGTATGCCGACTAGGAGATTTTGTGACGTCACCAGAGCTGAAGCTACTTGATCAGGCCTTATATGGAATAATATCGTGTATCGGGTGTAATTGGACCCAATTAGAGCAGCTGAGCGCTCAATCTGGTACCACCTTCTGAAACCCAGCAGACAGCTGGCCCAGAGAATCGAAATTAGAAGGATTTTTTATTGATGGAAATCGAAGCGGAAACCTTGTAACCCTATGTTTTCGATGACGCCGAACAAGATTAAACAGGTTATAATTGTCCTACTCTCGTGTAAATTGCTCTAAAACGTGATTGAAATTGTAATGATGCTATCAATTGTAATACAGTTTTTACATTAAGCTGAACGGCTGGCATTCCTGGGCCGCACTCATCCCAGATTGTCATTCCGCCGCAGCTTCAATTTATCTGGATATTACAGCCTGGGGTCCCCAGGTAACGACTGGAACCGCTATATCTGCCTAATCTCAGCTATTGTAAATAACGAAGCCTGTGATCCGCACATCAGGTATTGACCACATTGAACGGGCTTGAATCGAACAAGCCGTGTTATTAATATTAAAGATATTAATACCAAAAATCGTATTACTAGATTACCTTGTTGTCATTTGTGCGAAGTGCGTACTCTTTATACTGCAGTTTGAAGTGCATTACAGAGTTAATGTTATGTGTATTATACAGTTACAGTTATGTAACTGTTGCACACAGTAAAACTTACTGCGATCGCGCTGATAAGAAGTGAACTGATAAGAGTCGAGTAAAATTGCAACGTAACTAAAATCAATGTAACACCGCTATATGAATAGTGATCATTTCTCAAATAGTTTTCTCAATATTGCAATGAAGTTGTCCGATTTTATTGATGGAACGTGTGACAGCCTTCCATGTCACAGTCCTCCGTCAAACAAGGACATCCTTCGTTTTCTTTTGAGCCACAAGGAAAACCATGCGACTCATGTCGATTTAATGCTGGCCGAGGTTTCAAGTTTGATATTAAGTCATTACAGTACTCGATCGAAATGTACAGGCAAACGGACTTCTTTCAGCCTTGCAATATTGTCAAGTGAGTGCTAGTGTTTTTTAGGTATTTACCCTACAGCACAGGTTGTTCACGATACATCAGTCCGGTTTCAAACATATATTTTCTGCTGGGGGAAAATAAGAGAAATATAGCCGATCGATCTTTCATAAATTAATCTACAGATGTTTGAAACCAAACCAATGACCAATGTTTCATGAACAATCTGTAGTTGTACTGTATGCATATTTATATTAGGCACTTAGTTTCTCTTATATTAATGTAATTTAGAAACTTTCTACATTTAATTGAGCAAAGACTGCACTTCATGCTGGCCAGAGCAATATTTCACACGAGACTGCAGTATATTGC